CTACTATATGCTGCAACACACCCCCTATCTCTCTTTCATTGTAAATATTTTAATATTTAAATAACTTAATATAATATTGATTGACATTTAATGCTTAAGGTTTTAATTTGTATTATTTATTTAATTTTATTATTACTTTTTCATTTAAAAAAAGTCTCTCACAGGCACTCCACTGCACACTAAATTTAAAACAAACATTTTAAAATAACAAAAATTAATTTTATTTATAACAATCATTTCGCTAACTCTAAATTATTAGACGACTATTACAACATGGCGAAATAATGATATTTAATTTTTATGCATATAAGTTGTTTATGGCGATTTATAATTTGCCTAAAAACCTTAGCTCTGATCAAATAATGTTTATAAATGAATAACTAAATCAACAATTTTACTTAATAAAAATAACGTTAATAATAAGAAATGGAATTAATAATAATGTTTATTCACTAGAGAACCACTAGTGTTGGACATCGGGTGCGGACCGGGAAATACTTCCAAACTGTTGGCCAAAGAGTTAAACCCGGAGCGCATTGTCGGACTAGACTTTGACGCGAATGCCATTGCGTTCGCCAAACAACACAACTCTATGGCGAACACCGATTACTACGTTCAGGACATCACTCAGGAGAGGAACCAATGGGACAAAAGTGTTCAGAAGTTGGCCGGAAAGGTGTCCCTAATCTTCTCCAACTGTTCCATGCATTGGGTCCGCGAGTCGGACACTGCGGCCCACAATATGGCCAAACTATTGTCAAATAACGGTATAATAATTATGAATATAATATATTGCGGTCATATCTATCGTAGCCTCGGCGCCGATAGGAGGGCTGAGTTGGAAAGACGGCTCCGGTATCCCAACGCACAGCAAATGATCGGCCAATGGGTGACTGCATTCAATAGCGCCGGACTCACTCGCATTGAGATTAAATACCGTGAACAAAATCATATATTACCAGCTAAAATGTACAATGGTCAGTGATTGTATAATAATTAAACATGTGTGTTTACTTTTGTTTACTTAACGATTGTGAATTAGAGACCATTCAATTTTCTGTCAATTGGTTTAAACGGTATCTGACGGACAGTACCGGCGATGAAGACATGGATCAAGTCATACGAGAGCTGATCTACAAAGAGAGAGTCCGTGCGGTGTCTGAAAAGTCGCCCAATGGTGAGGATATGATTGAACTCAAAACTCAAGTGTGGGATTTTGTTGTTAAAAAATAACCTAGATGCTTTGTTGCGATCATATTGTGATTAATGTTAATTAATTGTGATTAATTTTACTTATCGCTATAATATGCAATAACTATATTATAAAGTATTCAATACCTTAATTTTATTATGTATTAATTGATGCAAAAATATACAATATTATTCTTATTTTCAATCTATCAATAAATGATTTGTGAATGTGTTATAAAAAAACATTAAAATTAGCATTATTTTCAATTTATTCACTTATCGTAAACTCTATTTAATAATAAAATTCATGTAAAGGTATAATGAAATTTAGGTATGATTAAATATTAATTATATTTAAATAAATAATTTCATATAGTTTGTAATAACTCAATAGAATTTAAATATAATATTTAATACTATATCCTTAAAAATCTACCACAATAATACTGTAGAAATGTACAAAAATTAGTTTTACTACAAGTGAGTACAATCGGTAGAGTTTATAAATTACTATATTAAATAAATTGAACATTTGTATATTAAGTAAGCATAAATTGTTCTGTCAGTATACAAATTATGTTTTCTGAAAATGAATGTAAGTAATTTGAAGGTCTTATAATATGATTGTTCTCAAGCACTTTATGTAAATTTTTTATGAGTTTACATAGTTAAAACTCTCTAAGAGCTCTTCTAGCACATTCTTACCTTATATGTACCAAGTAGTTTTACATTTATGGCATTGAATTACTAATAATTTTTAGTTAGTATTGTAATTAATATTTATAGCCCTTACAAATAATTTTATTATTTCTGGAAATGTAATCACAATTAAATAATTTTATAATGATAGTAAAGTACTAAACGAACTTATATATCTTTATTTAATTATAAAAATCTTAGTTAATTTAAATAAAACATGGTTTACTAATACAAATTAGTTGTCAAAATATCCTAAACACAATCCAGTATAAAATGTTTTTAATAAACTAATTTGACCAATATTCATTATTAATTAATTTACAGTTTACATTAGCTATATGATACTGCATTCAAACTGCACTATTAACGGGAATAAACTGTAAATATTGAGAACAATTTTAAGAATTAAATGTAAGTGAAATTCTGAGACATAAGACATGGGATAATAAAATAATTTATTACTATTACAGACGTATTGTTTGTATTTTGCAATTGATTTACAATACGGTTATAAATAAAGTTGCAAATGATTATTATACATATTATTGTATATATAACAAAGCAAACTATAATTAAAATTAAAAGTAGTTTAAACTATCGTTGGTTAACCTGAAAAATATTACCTGCAGTAATTTCAAGATCAACCATGTCGATGACCACCGTAGCCACCACGATTATTTTAATTCACAGTATCATTATTGGCACAGTAATTGGTAAGTTACTAGTTAAATTAAAATAGTAAATCAAAAAATAATTACAAACCAAAAAATAACCAATATCATTAATTACCAGGTTCGCCAATAAATAGCTACAATAATTCAAGCTTCACCTGTCCGTCGGACGACAACTGTGCCATAAGTCAGTGCCTGTATTTAAACCCCGATAATTGCCATACTTTCTGGCAATGCGATGCCGGCAAAAATGCACATCTTATCGACTGTAACCCGTATTACCTGGAGTTTAATGACTTTGTCAAAGTGTGCGACTGGGCCTCTGACCAGACCTGCCGGTCAGCACAACCCGTCACCACTACTACCACTGAGGCTCCGACCACTACTACTACTGAAGCCCCGACCACTACTACTACTGAAGCCCCGACCACTACTACTACTCCCGATGATGAGACCACTACGACAGTAGCGCCTGATGAGACAACTTTGGCACAAATTTATGATTTGATGGGCTAAAATATATTATTATTATTTATTTATGATTGTATATAATTTTATATTGGTAGTTATTATTTTAATTGAACTTGTTTAGGCGCTGATATAACAATTAATTAAATTTTAAAATAAAGAGCATTTAAAAAATTAATTTGCACTAATTATTTGTTTTTAATTATATTATCGAATAAATTAAACAAATAACATTAAATTTTAATGCCTGTAGTTAGTATTTAAATAAACTTTTGATTAGGGTCATATATTTCCACAATGCGATTATTTTATTGTGTTTATTTAAAAAATGAATTAAAATATTGTCCGATAATTATGGTAGAAATAATAGGATATTATTATTATGTTATTGACTAAAAGTGATGTTTTTTAAGACATAAAATATGTAATAAAATTGTTTTTTTGTTTTTATATCTAATGCATTATTTAAGCAATAAATTTGTGAAAAACAAATAGATTTTAATGTTTTCTACAGTGAAAAACATCATAAGATTTAATTACTTATCAAAAACATGTCAATCATATAAATGTTTACAAAATATTATAGAGTTTTATTAATCAGTGTATAGTTTAATAATGATTTTAATTAAATATAATTTAAATTGGCTAGATAAATAAATATACAATTAATATTTGTTTAATAAAACTAAATCCGGATTGTAATAGTCTATCAAATGTTTTAATTACTAAAAATAAAAATATAGTTATAATTAAATTTTTACTAGATTAACAAGCGTAGTATTTTTATCATATTTGATCTTGTTATACTTAATTAATTATTATAACTATTATTAAAAATTTTATAGTTTATTTAGGATATATTAGTTAGTGCAAAATGATTCAATGGAAAATTTAACGTAGTAACAACGTGGTAATGATAAAATATTTTTATAATTGTATGAAATCATCATTAGTTTGACGTATGTATTTTACAACATTTACCATCATATAAATGACACGTTTTTAAATTGTTATTGTCATTTGATTTACGTATGATTTACCGTAATTTCATGTGAGATACTATTGATAACAAAATTTTATTTACTATTTTTATGGCATTAACAACAGCTTACATTGTATCACACAATGCATACAATGGGTTAATGTATTAACAATAGGGTAATGTAAAGAATATAATGAGGATATACTAATAATCGATTTGTACACATAAAACATTTTAAAATTCTTCTTGGTAATTGTCTAAACTAGCTTGTTACACATTAATAACAATGTTTATTCACACTTTATTACGCTTTAGTTTATTCAAGAGGATATATTAAAGGATATAATTGAAAATATTTTAAGTTAATAAAACATTATAGGTAATTAAAACAATTTTCATTATAACCACTAGTAATTACTCTTGGGCACAAACGTACATAAATTCTGCATTTTTATTTATTAATAAATTTGTTGTTTATCAGTATGATATAATACCGTCTTATGTAGAACATTTCAATTATGATTTGATCAATATCCTATTTAATTTACGCTAATAGCGTAAGTATAATTTAAATATAGTAATTAAAAATTTTCAAATTGTATTATAATTTAACTATGTAGTTAATTACGCATGTAAAAGATCTATGTTAAAACACAGACAATTATTAAACAATAGGATATCAAACTGCAAGTGTAAACAGTATATAATCTGTAAATTATCTAATATATGACCAATAAATACTCGGTACATTTAACTCATTTAAACCGACACGGGTTAACTGGAAATTGTATAAATGTATAATTTTATAGCTATTGTCATATATTATTATATAAAAGCTTACATTAAAAAACATTTCTTAAAAATATTACACATAATATATAATAAAAGACGAAATACCGATAAAACTAATATAAAACTCATTGCTTTCAATGAAAATCCCATTAAATACTAGTATTTAGTGATTAATAATTAAAATGAAAATTAGTTATAATTAATCTTTTAATACAAGTAAAACCAAAATAGAAATTAATTAAAACATTAATTAAACATATTTAATTAAATGCTGAGATTATTGATCTCGTTTATAGTAGTGGTCACCGGTATTCAAGGTAAAAACTAATTACTTTAAAATAACTAAATAAAGTTATAAATTAAATAACACGATGCAATTACTACTATCACCAATAGCTGGTCCAATACATTACGGGCAAGATTTTGTGTGCCCACCCGATGATGACTGTGTGGTCAGTCAGTGTCTGTACCCAAACTCTGTTGACTGTACTAAGTTTTGGCATTGTACTGCCGACAAAACGCCC